AAAATTTAAAACATTGTAATAAAGTATACTTTTATATATATATATATATGAACAACGAACCTTTCACCGAATATGCACCCACCGTAGAAAAACAAATATTTTCTACCTATATATAAGAGTTAAAACCATAATAATTAACGCAACAACAAATTTCCGTAGTTTCACAATGTCCAACCATCCCCAAAACCAAACTGCGCCGGCTAATGGCCTTAGTCCATCACAAGTGGTGGTGGTCATGGTGCCCTTGCCGTGGCAAGGCCATCTACACCAGTTCATCCGCCTCTCCCAACTGGTCGCCGCCCACGCCATTCCCGTATATATCGTCGGCGCCGCCGCCGAAAACATCCCGCGAAAGCTGCAAATCCACGGCGGGATAAACTCCACCAATGAAGAAATGATCCGTTTCCATGACTTTGTCATCCCGCCTTTCATCTCCCCTCCTCCGAGCCCCAACGCCGCCAAAGACTTCCCTACTCATCTCCTTCCCACCTTCCACGCAACTAGCCATCTTCGTCAGCCCGTGGCGGCGTTCCTGCGCGAACTCTCATCCGAATTCCGAAGAGTCGTCGTCGTCCATGACTTCCTAGTGTCGTCGGTAGTCCACGGCGGCGTTGGTCCTGCAGTACCAAACGTGGAGTTGTACAGTTTGGAAGGCGTCTCGGCTTTTGCGACCGCCATGCTTCATTCTCGCGACGGAAAGGAAGAAGTAGCAGTAGATCAGCTAGATATTGAAAATCTAATAATCCCTGAAGACGTTCCGTCCTTTGAAGGATGTGCGCCTCAGGAGATCTTGGAGTTAACCGTACGGGAATCCGTATTCAATGACTTTAGCTCAGGGAATCTGTACAACACCAGCATGGCGATTGAAAGGCCTTACGTGAATCTAATGGCTAGGATTCACCCAAACAAGAAGCATTGGGCAATTGGGCCACTCAATATTAATGTGGAGACGTTGTCGGAGAAGAAAGTCGTGTCGAATGGCCGACACATGTGCCTGGAGTGGCTCGACAAGCAGGCTCCGCGGTCGGTGATTTACGTGTCGTTTGGGACGACGACGACATTCACCG